AGCACCTAGTTGGTAGCGAGTTTCGATGAAATTATGCAAATTTTCAACTTTTCACCTAGGCCTCTCTACTGGTTTTTTATATTTTCGAGTGTAATTTGGCTCCTTAGGTAGTTGAAGCCCAAGCCTAAGCCTAATTCTAAGCCTAAGACTTTCAAAGCTTATGCAAAATCCTTTCCAAGTCCTCTAAATCCCACCAAAGCACACCCTTCCACCTCGTTCTCCTCCTCCTCATCTTCCTTTGAAATCCGAATCCGCGTGAGACCGAGCGGGGGATATCCCCAGCCGAGCGGCAAGAAGAGGATGAGGGAATGGGAAGGGTTGAAGAACCGGTCAAGGCCCCGCCCTAATGGGGACCATATGTGAGAAGTGCTGCTGTGTTGGGAATGGGGATGGGCGGGTCGTTGTGGTTAACCATGCGTGGTGGCCAAACGTCCCCCCGACCGGCTGCTCGGCTCCTCCAAGGAGGCCACCTTCACCCATTTTTTACGGCCTATCGCCTCGTTTCGGCCTGAGGGTGAGTGAGGGTTGTGGATAGGGTGGTTAGGGGATTGTCGGGTTGTCGGGGAGACTTCTTCCTTGAGATACGCTGAATTTTTGAGTTAGGTGTCGCTGCGCCTTTAGAATCTGATTTTGGGAGATTTTAACGGTATAACCATTTTTTTGTTGTTGATTTGATCTTTTTTTGTCTTAAGCGGTCACTTTACATTTTCTCCTTCTTTTTCCGATTGCTATAAATATTACTTCTAAAAACCTAACTTATTTAAAAATTACTGAAAGCTTGGGGGTTCTTTCAACTTTCGTGAAATTTAAAAAATTGAAAGGAGGATGATTTGCACTGAAATTCCGGTAAAATTGTTCGACAGAAATTTTTTTAGTTGCTGTGAATCCTGCGAAATTTGAAAAATTTAATTTTCTATTACTGGTTACAATTAATAGCTGAATTTTTGCGTTCAGAACAAAATCACCTAACTGAATTTAACAAAACATCATCCCGCAAGTTTTAATAGATGCCAAAATTAAGCACCGTCAGGGCTTTTCGCCCTATAAAGCCCTAAAAAAGGTTGCGCACAGCGTTGAAATCGACGAAAATCTGAACAAGACAGGTTGAACCAAGGGAATTCTCCTGTTAAGGAACACCTAGATACCGAGATGCATTTTTTCTCTTTCAGCTGGCATGACTTCAGGTGTTCCTTCATGTTCAAAAACCAAGTCAAAAGACACAAAAGGGTGCCAAGGAAGTGCATTACTGATCTCTGACTGTCACCGACTCAACCCCCCGGGTAGAATCTCACCCCACCCCCGAGGGGGCTTTCCCATGACCATATGGCGTGTGCCCTCGATCATCGACCTCCAACCCCCCTCAACCAAAGCCATTCAGGGGCTACCGGGTTGTTTGTTTTACCATCGGTGTGACCGAAACAAAGGGTTAGCACTATGGGTCATGTTTATTGACGATATATAGGGATAGATTTTTGGGGCTAGGGCTTTAAAGGTGTTGGGAAGTGGCGGATACGATACGATACCTAAGCCTAAGCCTAAGACTAAGCCTAAGACTAAGCCTAAGCCCATGCCTACCTAAGCCTAAGATTACGCCCAAAGCCGGCGTTACCTGTCTTACGAACTGTCTTCTCTATTTTTCTCGGTTCTAGCTTTATTCAATTTCTATCGGGTCAAACATCTAGTTAGTATGTAACCAGCCGATTCTGTATTTGTTCTGGAGGCCAAACTCTTATTTTTCCATGCTTTTGGTCTTTTGAAATCAATCTCAATGCTTCGAGCTAACGGAAAACTACACAATGCTGCCCTAAAAAATCCCCTTTCCCGATTTACCTTTTTTTTTGTGAATTTCCAACCTGGCCGGCCGGTCTCCGGGCAGCATGTTTGCCCTGCCCCTGACCCTCTCCGCCCCTCCTCCCTTTTTCCGCATCGTCCACCCCATCCTCCCAGGGGGTCGGCGCCCAGGTTCGTCGCCTATTTGTTGCCCGGATCCGCGTTATCGAAACGCCGAAGTCTAAGGCTAAGCCCACGCCTAATTCTAAGCCTAAGCCTAAGCACAAAATAGATCTTTGTCATCACGAACGATATAATAAAACCTTTCTGCACCTGCCGTGCCATTTTCTTGATTGTTGTTTTTTATCCGGTGCCCTCCGCGCCACCTCGTTGATTACCACCCGGCTCAACCGGCCCCCGATTGTTCTGGAACCTGTTTACGTGGTGGGCTGTGGAGAGAGCTCCTCTTCACCTCACAGGTTGTTCTCCCTGTAGTTGCCATTGGATACAGGGTTTTTGAGTGGTGATCACAAATTTTTTTAGAGCCTCTCTTCGCGTTTTTTCAAATTCTCCGGTGTAATTTGGCTATTTCGGTAGTCGTATAACGTCTTAGAGAGCTCGGAAGCCTAAAACTAAGCCCAAGCCTAAGTTTAAGCCTAAGCCTAAGCCTAAGCCTAAGTCTAAGCCTACTCAAGAAAATCCACTTCTTTCACAGCAACAAGCAGGAAGTCGTGTTTTCTCACCCCTGCCACCGACTTTCGGTCCACTTCGCCCCCTAGGGGCCATGGGCCACATTCGTGTCGGGACCCACCCGGCTCACCTTGCCTTCCCCCATCTGCCATGCACCCCACAGGGCCGAGATCCCCATTTTGTTCTCATATTTGTCTGGTTGTAGGTGTAGATGCCATATGGCCCCTCAACCCCCTCGAATGCCCCACTCGACCCCCATCACTTCCCCCCTCCTGCTGCTCGATCCCCCTCAAAATGCCCTCAATTCATGCTTGTTTTTCTACCTGACGATCTCAGTAAAGACTCAACTAGCTGTCTGACCTTCATATCCTTTTCCAGGTGCAAAACCGAGTGGAGGCGCCGGTGTGTGCGTGTGGCGGGTATGTGTCAGGTCGAGTCCCTTCAGCCCCTTCAACCTCATCAGCCAAAGGAGCGGACACACTGTGGCACCAAGCAGGTGGGTAGACAGTATCTTTTAATGTATACCTCTCATTTTTAATATTAGTTCAATAAGTACGCCCTGATCAGCCTAAGTCTAAGCTTAAGCTAGACCATTTTTCCGGTGCACTACTCCTTACGACAACTGTACAGAGTATTCATACGGAAAAATTGGCTATTGACACGCGCTGAAAATACAAAGAAAACCGTGTTTCTAATTTTATGACTTTCTAATTTTCTTAATTGTTTTTAAATGAAAAATGGCAATTTTAAAGCCTTGATACACAGGACTCAAAAGTTGTGGGAAAACTGTGAAAACTATTTTGGGTATTTTTCTAGTTATTCCATATTTCCCAATTTTGCTCAAGAAAATCGGATATTTTGCAGCTAACAGTTTGTAAGTCGCGAAATTCGTCATTTTTCCCTTTTTTCTTAAATTTAGCCATACGACCAGGCAATTTGAGACAGCTCCACCCCAGGGAGGAGCTTACAGTACCCAAGGATCCAGATAAAACCACAAAGAACCCCGTTGTCACCTCATTACACCTCCCGAAAACACGCTACGTGCCATCGCCCATGCTACGAGCAGCCCCTACTTCCCATCGGCTTTTTTCGCGTACTTTTCAAATTAGACTTCTCCCCCGGCCGTTGTTTTCCACCACCCGGCGGTTGCGACCAAAAATGGGTGTAAGCCGCCGGCGGGGGCTGAACCCAGGGGCGGATTAACATTGATGCCCGTTTCTGCGGGGAGAAGGGCATGTTTTAGTGAACTGAAAAGGGTGGGACTCCGTTTCGGATTAGGGGAACACAGCAGCGGGAGCGGGCGGAAGTCGACTTTCCGGTTGAGTGAAGTGGTCGGCGGAAGGTGTCAAAGATTACTAGGTTAGGCACGTTGACACTTTTATTCGTATTTGGGGTCTTCCAGTAGAATTTGGTTTGACGTAAGGCTAAGTACAAGGTTGAGCCTAAGCTCAAACCTAAACCTATGCCTAAGCCTAAGCCGAGGCCTAAGCGCATATCTAAGCCTAAGCCAAGGTCTAAGCCAAAGCCTATGCATAAGCCTAAACCCCTATCCCTCGGGCCCTCTCCCTTCATTCCAATTTGCGGTCGCTCTGGGGCCCTGCTTGTCCCCCAGTTTACGGATTTGACGTTTTAAGTAGCGATTTGTGGCATTTTGGGTATTTAAACGCTTGTAACTTTTTATCTGGGGTTCCGCAATTTGGTTCGATCAAATTCTGCAAAGATGCTATCTCACGTAGGAATTTCCACTTCGACCATGGGTTAGCCTACGCCCAGACTTTTTCGATCTTTCGCTCCCCCTACTCCCATATCTCTTACCATTTTAAACATCTCCGATTTGAATGTGCCCTCCTCGATCAGCCTTTGGGCTGTAAATCCTGATGTTTGAGCGGCTAGCCGGGGTGAAGCTTTCTTCTCTGTCCACCGCCCCGAAAAAGGAGCCCTCCCTCGGCCCTCCGGGGTTTGCACAGTCGCTGCGGGACGCTATCGGCGATTACGCGGCGCTCCTGCAAACAGTCCACACAACACACCCATTCTGGACGGACAGACAGACAAACTGAAAGAGAGACAGAACGACATGGAGGAGAGGATGGAACAGACACTTCCATTTCCACTCTTTCGGTCTCGGGGCGACACTTATATATCAGACATCGGGATACTTGATTTTGTACATAGAGCAAGTACGATTAAGGGAAAGGGGGCGGACTTGTTAGCGTGTCAAACTTGCTATAAAGGACCTTTATAAAAATTTCGAGACTGTTCGGAGTCGAACACGCTCTCTCTCTCTCTCTCTCTCTCTCGCTTCGTATCGTTCAAAATTCGGATAGCTACGCAAGGAAACCTAAAGAACATTTTTTGTGCTTTCTGTTACCTAGGTATCCGCTTAGGCGTAGGTTAGGCTTAGGCTTGGGCTTAGTTTTTGTACTGCAAGATTCATGTATTTGCTACCCTAAAAAGAGTTTGTAATTCACCTATTCTAATTCATCAATTCTCAGGCAATCGACTTGGGTGATCAGCCTGCCAAAACGGGTGACCGGGCCAAGATGTTCATGGACCCGATCGTGCGCGCCCTCTGCCGGGCCGCCGAAAAGAAGCCATTCACTTTTGAGGATTTCACGGAGGTTGGTTTTTGCTTGGCTAGCCTGGCTTCGGCTTGGGCTTAGGCTTAGGCTTAGGCTTAAGCTTAGGCTTAGCCTTCGTATACAACCTCATTATGCCCCATTTTCAGCTCTCCGACGTCAACTTCAACAGCCGACGCGAAGAAGCATGGCGATTACTGTTCATCGACGAGGAGACGAATCGACAGCAGAAAGCGCTACGCGCCGAGCGGCAGCGGCGTCGTGAGGTGAGTGTTTTTTAGCAAGACGTCGGTTTGCTGCGGCTGTGCGTCTGTCTGAATCAGTTCTCGGGTGTTAGTCACGGTTCTCGGCAGAGGCTGGGGTTGAATGGGAAGCCCTTTACGAATGGATTACACTTTAATTAGCTGGATGACGTGGAAGGGTTCAGGGAAGGAGGAAAAGCTAAGAAACTAAGTAAGACTAACTAAGAAACCCAGCCTTTGACGTAATTTAATGGAAGTTCTGGAGTCCAGTCAATACCTTTGCGTTATTGTGGGAAGAACCACTTTGAATGGAACCGGAAAGTCACAACTTTTAAAGGGACAGGTAAATCACAAAATTGTATCCTCCCATTCAACTCCACTCAACTACCCGGATCACATTTCACACACGACCGCATAGATCACGACCGCGGCGCTTGGGTCAGTGGGCTGGCCACTCGATTCGAGTATAGCCTGACCGACCCTACAGTATTCAAAAAGCAAATATTTTGGTTTAGTTGGCGGTGTGGGGGGCAAGAAACCGGGATGCTAGGGGGAGTCGCGCGCAAATCCGTGGTGGTGGTGGAGGCGATGAGAGGACCGAGAAGGGGGAGACCGGGTCTATTCACCCGTTGTATTGACTCTTCCTCGACCCACACCACCATGGCCTCTACTCCCCCATCCCATCCACGTCCCATTCAATCTACCAGGGGCTGGAGGAATCGGAAAATATACCAAAGAAGATCGGGGAGCTTTTGAGAAGGCTTTGAAGCCTTTGAAACAAGATTCAAATGGTTCCAACTTGAGCAAGTGCACATTCGCCAGGGATTTTAAAGGAACGGTGACATCAAGGTTTTTCTGGACGTCCCTTAAACGGGGGCATGACAGCAAATAGACTAAGGATACACGATTTGTACATATGTACCAGTATCGTCATCAATACCGAAGCGACTTCTAAAGGGAGAGTGACGAGAGCCAACGAGCCGATTTTTACTGGCTGGCTCCTTGGAAAATCTTCTAAGCTATTAAAGGGAGTGCGACACAAAAAAAGTTGAATTTTTGAGGCTGGGAAAGTTATCACTTTTAGAAATTAATGAAGTTTCAAATTATTGAGTTGTAGGTTTTAAAGAAGACAAGTTTTTAAGAAAACTTGCGGGAATTAGGGACACCAACCCGAAAAGACACCAACGCAAAAGACACCATCCCGAAAAATTTGCATGCGAAAACTTCGTTAGCAAAAAAAACTTCGTTTTTTCTATTGTGGACCTGACTTTCCTGATGATTTTTCGGGATGGTGTCTTTTCGGGATGGTGTCCATCTACCACTTGTGGCTCCTGTCCTTTTCCTTGCCGTCTGTCAGCCCAAAACAATAATGACTTTCTGAAAAATTCATAGAAATCGCCCCCTTTTCCAGGCCGACGCATGCACACGCGCCGCGGCCGCCACGCAAGACTGCTTCGCTCCGCAGTGGGTTGGCGACGTGCAGCTGCAGTTCTTCATCGAGCTCTGACCCCGGAAGATCAGTCCCCTTAATTCCCAGAATCCCCCCCAAATACTCAGGACGTCTAGAATCGTGTACCACCGTAGTCTCGCGGGCACCAGTCACAGCTGACCAAAGCCTTGTTATTTTGATGTCTTATTTTGCCGTGTCGCCCCAGTTTTCGTCTGTTCGCTCGATGAGCTTAGTCCTGCAAGTACTCTTTCCAGAAATCTCGTCATTACCGTACACTTTACCAGTCATTTGTTCTTGTCTTTTTGACGCCGTTGCCCCCGCCCTCCACCGTACTGGTCCGTATACCCGTATTTCCGCCCCTGTACTCTCGTCAGATACGGTTTCCCCCTGATACCCGCACTTCCCGAACCCGGACCCTTACCCCAGCCCGATTTCCGAGCCTAAGTCATTTTCTTGTGAGCATATGGGTCCCCGCCTCGTTGAATTCACGCAGTACATCCAATTCTAAGGACCCTGCACAGCCCCCAAAATCTCTGGTGAGACAAATAGCCCGTGTGTGATAGCTGGGCTATCCCCCTAATGTACCCTGTACCCCCTCGGATGTAGCGAGTAGCCACCCGGACACTTCCGTTTCTTGAGGTTCCCCAGATTCCTGGTGGCCGATTAGCATCCGCCAGTTTTTGCAAACCTTCTGAAGTTCCGGGACTCCCCCTCTAGAAGTTGCCCTACCTACAGTAGTACCCTACCATGGTCCCCGTTTTTCTGTTGTAATTTACATAGTACGAGTGCGCGTCAATTCCGCAATGGGAGTACAATTTGATTGTGAGTCGTTGGGGGTTTCAAGGGATGGTGACAGCTAGGACTAGACCTAGTCGAAGCCTCAGCCTAAGCACAAGCCTAAGCCTAAGCCTAAGCCCAAGCTAAGCCCGATATTAACCTGTCCCTTTAGCCATTCCCAGCTGTGCTCGGAATGGAACCCCCGACCCCACGTCTCCCACATGATGAGCCCCAAAGCCCCGAAAATCGTAGGTGGCTACAGTATCGCGACGTACTATCGTTTTGTACGATACAGTACCCGAGGTACGGTAGCCGCCCATCGACACTCGGGCGTTTGTGAGGCCACATCATTTTCCTGATCTCCTATACACACTTCCCTTCCCCCGAGTCGCTGTCCCTAGTGTGCATTTCGCCGCCACCCCCGTAAGAGAAGCTTTTCCCCCCACAACCACACCCCCACACCACATACACATACACAAATACACAAAAAAAGATTGTGGGTACCCCCGAATTCTTGTGGTATGACTCGGATAAAGCCGTGTTGATAGATTGCTTTTGGAAATGTGCACCGGATTGAAAACCGCAGAATATATGCCTGATATGAGACACGAACCTACGATTTTTTATTTTTCGGGCTGTGACAATTTTCCTACTACGACCAAAGAAATTATAGGTAAACACGGGAATAAGGCATAAAAATGCAAATCTCGAGGCGGCGAAGTAATATCATGATTTAAGATGTTTTACAAGACATGAGAAAATAGTGAGAGTCGGAGAGGGAACGAGAGAGAGAGAGAGAGAGAGAGAGAGAGAACGAGAGAGAGCAATAGAAATAGAGAGAGAGAGCTAGAGATTGAAAGATAGAGAGTGAGAGAGAGAGCGCGTGAGCGTGAGAGACTGACAGCATCTATTTTACCATACCACAAAAATTTGTTGAATTTTGTCTTTGGATTTCGCTTGTCAACGCCTGAACCCCGAATGTTCCGCAAATGGCCCTCTTAACGCTCCCACCTCATCATCGTTCTTACCCTGATGGTTCGGGGCTAATGTTTGCCCCCAATTCTTTTCCCGACCCCTTTCTTCTCGACCATTCGCTCCCTCGTTCCCACTTTTTCTCTGCGGTCCATGTATCGGCTACGCGGGATAGCCGCAGGGGAGGTCGACCTGCTGCATCCTGGAGGCCGGTATACACCAAGAAACTAGGTCACACCCACCCTGGCTCTCGTCAATTCTGTCCTAAAAAGCGTGGGTTTCGATTTTTCCAGCTCCACCCAGAGCCCAATGCCCCCCCCATTATTTTTGTCACATTTCGGATTTCGGTGCTTTCAGCTTTACGGTTGATAAATGGTTTTTATAGCGTTTTGGTACATTAATGATAGGATAGGATTTTTAAGGTTTAGTGGTAATTTTATAAAATTTATGTTTTGTAATTCCCAGAGAATAGGACGTTAAGTTTATTTTTGCTGTTGAAAAAATAATAAAAAAACATAAATTTGTCTAGAAACAGGGTCGCTAGTCGATATTTATTTTGCCTGGGAATTTTCGCATGACCATTTTTTATGCAAACAGTCGGAAGTCTTTTGTGTTTGGCGAAAACGCACGGAAGTCATTTTTATCTTTTAAATTGATTTAATTGCAGTTTCTGGCTATGCGTAGTTCGAAGCCTAAATCTAAGCCTAAGCCTAAGCCTAAGCCTAGACCTAAGCCTAATGAGGCAGTTCTTGACACCAAATTCCAATCGATCAAATATCCCGGAAATGCACCCCAAGCTTCCAACTCACCATCCGGCAGCACTGCCCCCAGCTGAACCTAGATGACCTCGGTTCCGCTTTTTTACCTTCCTTTTCTTCCCTACTGCTATGCCTTGGAATTACCATCCCCGGCGATTCGTCAAAACGGAGCTTGACGGGGCCAATAAGTAAAAACCGGCAGTCGTCGGTTTTTTTCTTGATATTCTTCGAGGCAAACCGGTTGCAAATCGGATGGTCGAGAGAGAGAAAGAGAGAGAGAGAGAGAGATATATATAGAGAGAGAGAGCCTAGCTATGTCCTTGACTGGAGCCACAACCCGAGATCGCGGATACACGGCTAACCCTCGAAATGTCCACCCCATTATGGCACTTTTCATTTTTCGGCCTCGCTCGATTTTTTTTGGGGAGGAGAGGTTGACTGCCTTTTTTGGTACTGAAGGGAGAGGGCCGACCTTGCGCCCCGATCGGTCGATCATGTTTACTAGCGATTACCGCTTGTTGGTCTTCTCTGGGGGATCGGCTAGGTCGAAATTTCGATTTGAAAAGCACGGGGGCTTCCTTAAAAATGTTAGGCCTAGAACAATTAAGTCTGTAGGAGATGGTAAGCCATAAGGCTCGCTCTCACTCTGTCTCCTCTTTTCTCTTTCTCTTGCTCTCTCTTGCTCTCTATCTCTCTCTCTTTCTCTCTCTCTATCTCATTGTCCATATTGTTAAGCGCTAATGGACTGGAGCTTGCCTGACAAATTTTAAAAAATTTGAGTTTGTCAAACGTATAGGAAGTGAAATATAACAAGAGAGAGACGAGAGCATAAAGGAGAGAGAGCGAGAGATAGAGAGAGAGAGCGAGAGAAAGCGATGCACATCTTCCAGAAAGACCTTTTTGTCCAAATTTTGCCATTTCCAATACGATTCGATGGATTCCCGACTTACCCACGGGTCAGGGGCATCATGATCTGTTATCTGATCTAGCCTCGACGTATCCATAGGGTTGTTTTTCCATTATGCCAATCTTTTTGCGGTTCTGTGTTGCTTTATTTGCGTCTCTTAAAGATTTACTTTTGCTGCATTGATTTCTGCAGTTTGCTCTAACTTCTAAAGCATGGTTCTCTCCAGATGAGGCTCATCTGGGTGGGGCTCTTCGTCCTTGCTGTCGCCTTCGCGGCTGACAAGAAGAAGGAGAAGAAGGAGGAGGAGACGACCAAGGACGAGAAGAAGGAGGAGAAAGAGAAAAAAGACAAGACCACCGATTTGGGACATGGTAAAATGGCTTCGGATTTTAAAGAGAGAGAAAGAGAGAGAGAGAGAGAGAGAGAGAGAGAGAGAGAGAGAGAAGGGGGGAGGGGGGGGGGGGGGGAGGAGGAAGAGAGTGAGATCTAGCTGCTCTTGCGCTGTTGCCCCCCTACTAAAACTCTCAGGCTTTTTGCATCCAGTTTCACGTTCAGAACAATTTTATGCAAGCTGGGTACTACCCCTGGGACTGTACCAGCGCCAAATAAAACAAAGCTTTTTGTAGCTTGAGAGCGTGTTTGAGCAAGAGAGAGCGCGCTCAGAGAGATAGATAGGGAGAAAGCGAATGAGAGTGATAGAGAGTGAAAGTGAAAAAGAGAGCTCGTGCTCCATCACGTTAAAATAACTTTTCAGGCTTCTCCAAAGACATCGAATGGGTCGAGTGGAGCAAGGCCGTCGGCGTCGCCAAGGATCTGAACAAGCCCATTTTCTTCCTGATCCACAAGACGTGGTGCGGAGCTTGCACGAGTAAGTCGTATGCAAATATCATAAACTCCTTAGAATCCTGGCTTTCCCAATGAAAAGCGATTTCTAAGTAAACGTTCCAGACCTAAAGCGCGAGTTCAAGAACTCCAAGGACACCAAGGAGCTCATCGAGCTGTCGAAGAACTTTGTGATGGTGAACGTTGAGGATGACGATGAGCCTGAGGATGACAAATATGCTCCTGATGGAGGATACATTCCTAGAATTCTGTTCCTTGGTGAGTCTCGTACTTTGGGATACCTTGCATGTGATTAAGGTACTATGGCGCTCCCTTTGTTATACGGAAAGTATCTTTGCAAAAAATTTCCTTTTTAGACGCCGACGGTGAACCCCTTACCACCAACAACGCCAAGCGCTACAAGAACAACCAATACTTCTACCCCCTGGTCCCCCAGGTCATCGACGCCATGAAGAGGGCCTTCGATGAGTACATTGGCATCGTTGAGAAGGTAGGTGCAAGGGAAAGCAGCTATTTTTAGCGACTACAACGTTAACTGTCTTTCTTTAAACCTCAGCTATATCAAAAAGGGACGATTTTAGAAGGACGACGAGGAGCCGACGCCACCTACTGAGAAGGATGAAAAGAAGGAGAAGAAGGAGGGCAAGAAGAAGGCTGAAAAGAAGGAAGAGGAGGAGAAGGAGGAGGAGGATGAGGAGAAGAAAAAGGAAAAGAAGGAGAAGAAGGAGAAGGACGAGAAGAAAAAGGACGAAAAGAAGAAGGACGAGAAGAAGAAGGACGAAAAGAAGAAGGACGAGAAGAAGAAGGATAACAAGGAAAAGAAGGACAAGAAGCAGGATGAAAAGAAGGACAAGAAAGACAAGAAGGACAAGAAAGACAAGAAGAAGGACGAGGACAAGAAGGAGAAGAAGGACAAGAAAAAGGTACTTTTCATTTCTATATTTTGCATTTTTCTCTAGGCCAAGAATGAGGAGCTGTAAACCGACGTCACCAACAAGGAACCGAAATTTTGGGTCGAATACTGGTACTAATGAGCGTAATAAATTATGGAAAATCGAAGAGAAACAAAACGAGATTCTGAATTCTACAAAATTCAGACTCTAACAAGGAAACCCCCCTCCCGGTTAGCGGCGAGTTTGAGATCGGTTAGCCATATAGCCTATCCGATGTCGTTTTCCACGTTGATCATGAATCCGCTATTTAACAAAAAAACAAAGCCTCGTAAACTGACTTTGACAGGCAGGCCCGTCTCTCGGCCGTGGTCCGAAAAGTTCATAAAGGTTTCTATGATTTTTTATCCTTATAATTTTTTTCTCTAAGTGCGAAACGAGCGAGATATCTGATGCTCAAAAAATTTTGATTTTTATATAAAAATTAAGTTCAGGAAGGCCAGAGCTATTACAAGGCTAAGAGTTGTTACTTTTCCCGGTTCACGTCGTCGTAAGGGTTTCTGTGCAAAAGTTATTCGGTTCGACAAAAAAATCATATGTTTATTCAGCGGCGGCAATGCACGAATTCTTTGACTGCGGCGGTCTTATCATAAGCACCGTCCTCTCCCCCGCCGGATATTTGAAATTCCATTGGTGTTATGATCTCGACGCGATTGTAGCGGTCGGGCAGCCTGACGATCAGCACCTCGCCATCATGGCGTCTGATGCGGTATAGATTCTGCCTGTGCTCCGTTCTGCTGACAATGAGTTTTGGATACTGTTCAAAGAAAGAACGATGGACCTCATTATTCGCCGTGTCGAATACTAACGGCGTCGATCTAGCCACGATCCAACGGACTTCTCTCTCACCTTTTATCCATTCCTCGACTATCACCCGTGCGTAGGCCCATCGAGGCACAACCGGGTTTCCAAACATCCGTAGCCACATTCTCGGCACCTTGAGCTGCAGATACTCCGGCTGTTTCGCATTGATGTGCGCGTTCAGGGAAATAACTGATGCATTTAGCCACGAAAACAGTTCGACCGTCTCCCCAGCAGCGAATTCTCTAACCTCGAGCCAATCGTATTTTTCAGTGGGTTTATGGCGGTCTAACAGTGATATTGTAGCCTGGAGGAGCGTCAAGTTCAGACTTTTGCAGCGAAAATCGATATCGTGGGGGAGAGGGTTAAAGGGATAGAAACCCCTTACGGTGGCTTTATGGAAAAGCAGCCTGAAGGTCTCCATGTTACGGATCTCGGCAACGCTGTAGTCCAGATAAGCGTAATACAAATCATTCGACCCATTGCCTTTGAGATCTACATCCCAATACTTATCCCGGCATGTCTGGGCGATTGCTAGCATTCCTTTGCTCGTCATTGCCGTCTTGAAATAGCTTTGTAGATCCATATTGCGTATGATGTTGTGTTGGACATCGATGGGGAAGGCGTTAAAGTGCATGGCCTGAAAAGGGAAAAATTCTGAGGCATAATGGAAAAATGGCGAGCCAGACAATAATAGACAGAGAGAAGAGAGAGAGAGAGAGAAAACTATTCCGTTATAGCTGAGGTACACGAAATTCACAAGGTATCCAAAAGCTTCAGAGCAAACCAGAATGTTTGTTTGACCCCCGATTTCAATGACTGATGTTAGCTCCAAACCGCACCTTCCGAGGGCAATCCACAGAGAGAATTACGGCGAGGAACCGATGACATATCAGCATGCCCTTGGGGCATATTCGATGCCCGGTCTCGGAGGTCACAGTCCAGTCGTTTTTAGAAATTCCAAACTTCGATCCGTGCCCGAAGAACCCACAAACAACGAGTGGAAGTAGGAACCCCCCCTGAAATCTCGACTCCGACCGCTCGTATGGAGACCGAAATGGGCCTGCTGACTCTCAAAACCTCAAAATAAACCACCAGGTATTTAAATCCAAATTTGGTGTAAAACAAAAATTCCAAAAAACAAAAACAACCAAAAAAATTACTCACTCATCCTCATCAGACAAGGAAATAACGCCGCAGGCAGTCACAAGTACCACCCCATTACCTCCTTCCGTTTCCGTTTTTTACTACAATCCCCAAATTTAATGGCCGCTCACTAATCCCTAAATTATGGCCAGACTACGGTGAGTGTTTAGAAAAAGAGCGCGTCAACGCACACTACCCCCTTCCGGCTGGCCAATTCTCATCAAACGGCTATTTTTCGATTCTCTCTCTCTCTCTCGCTCTCTCTCTATCTCTCTCTTTCTCTCTCTATTTTTCCTTTATTATCCATCCCTTTCATGCCCCTTTTTTCATCTCCACTTATTAGACACAGGAAGGGGTGAGGAAGCCGGGCGACGGGGTGAGGATTATGGAAATTGGTCTTGAGTGGATTGTGGCCACCATAATCGCCTCCGGGCCCGAGCCTGTCTTGAATATCGACCCCCACCACGCACACCGTTCTGGGTCTCTTCGTTTTTTGAATGGATTATAGGGGCTCACGTCCAGTTTTATGTAATCATCGCTAGTTGGATTTGATTTGGTCGCCAGGATTTGTTTAGAAGGTTTTTGTTGGTTCAAAGAATGGCAGGAGTTTGATGGAAAGCCGTCTAGCGACTTGCCAAAAGTTCAAGCTTCCAGCCTAAGCCTGAGCCTAAACCTAAGCCAAACCCGAAGCGTAGCATCTAATTTTTTCGTGGAGACCTCGAGGAATACATCGCAGGAATCGTAAGCGTAAGCCTAAGCCGAATCTAAGCCTAAGCCTCGCTTAATCCTAATTTTCGCGAATCGATTCTTCACTTTTTCATTGAAAAATATTGCATAGTACAGCATTAATGAGCCTTGACAAACACCGAAGATGTCCAATTTCCTAATTGGCTAAACCCATTCCGCAACACTCCAAAGTTTCAATCACCTGAAAAACCGCCCCAATCACGAGTGCACCCCATCCGGTGGGTGCTCTTCCCCAGCTGCTCTGCCAGAGGCGGCCCAATTTCCGTTTTATGTTTTTTCCGGCCGGCCCCACAAAAATGGCTGCCGGACCCATCGCATTCGGGGGTCCGCTCGAATTCCCGACCAGCAGTGGCGGCCGGGGCGCTCTGGCAATTAGTCGACGCCCGCTCTGGCCACTCTGGCCGTCGGATTTCAATTCTAACGTGATGCCCCGGAATTCGAGCCTGGAGGGAGACCATTGTTCTATTCTTGGAATTTACATCTTTTTCCCGGCGTGCGTAGATAAAATTTGATGCCATTCATATTTTCACAATTTTTTTGGAAAAATCGTTTTTCTACGAAGGCTAAATTTTCGAAAATGTTCTTTTATGAAAAATGTCTTGAAAACGAATTTTTGAAGCTTATTTTTCGAAACGTCATGCTCGAAATCAAAAATGCCAAAATGCGACAAATTTGCATCGATATTTGCTAGATGCAAATCCGGCCAAATTATTATTTCGGAAGGCGAATCTCGAAAATCCGAATTTTCCAAAATCTACCTATCGAAAAACGACCGTTCTCTAGGGAATAAATTTCCGGGTCTGATTTTCAAAAAAGTACGAGAAAAATATTGAAAGCTCTTTCCCTTTTAATTTTCCGCACCTACCTCCGGGTTTTGCAAAACCTGCAAATTATTCAGCGCCCCTGACAATGGGTGTCTGCTGCTGTGAGAATTTGTAAGCGTGCACTTTCTCGGATTAAAGTTAAAACTCGGCATGGTGGAGTATAAGCTTCTGAAATTCAGCCCGGATCTCCGCTACAAATTTGTCTCATGTATATTCATTGAGTCAGGCAGGCAGGCAGTGACTCCTGATATGTATTAGTCATTATAAGTCGGGGGAGGGAAAAAAAATAAGTTCCTGGATTAGGGGGTGGGCGACTACTTTTCAACGATGAGCAATGTATAAATGTTCAGAATTGGAATTGTTGAAGTATCGTTTAGGCATGAACTTCTACTTTCATTTTACTTTCCGCATTCATCGAAAATAAGGATCGCTGTAAGCTAGCGACTCGTCGAAGAAAGTCCTATGCTTCACTCGGAATCTGGTATGCAAATTGCCGGCGCGACTATTTGAGTGATGTTGGGAAAGTCAAGTGCGACTCACGAGAAACCAGGTGTCTGCGCTGCCGGGGTATTTGAGCCCTGGAGTCTTGATTTCCAGTTGGACAATATGAAAAAAAGGTCAAGCCCGATACTTCCTGACGTTCAGAATTGAGATCTCTGTCTCTACTCTCTCTCACTCGGTCTCTCCCTCTCTAGCTCACTCTCTCTTGCTCTCCCAGAACCCTCGCCTAAGCTTCAGGCCTAATCCCTATCCTAGGCCTCACTGTAAGCCTAATTTCAAAACGCCCAACACGGAACCGCAAGCGCTCCAACTTCCAAAATTAGACGATCCCATTGTGGTGTTCCCAGACTGGCACTGACCAGTTTTTCCGGTGCCAACGCGGCTCCTCCTCGCTTGTTGATTCCCTGGGAACCGAAGGAGAAGAAGAAGGAGGATGGGTGCTGAGGGGCTTTTGTCCACCCCCTGGCCCTCCTCATGTGCCCTGAAAGGCGTCCCTTTTCAAAGTTTTGTCTTCAGTCCGGAACCCGTTTTCTGGAGAGGAGGGGCTAGCGGGGCTCCCATCCACATAATCCACTTTGTGCCCTCATTATTATGCGGCTTGGGCCCCCCTCGCACCTATTCAGCACCGCCAAACCAAGAAGTCGCCCCAGGGGTGGGGCAGTGGTTTGGAAGAAGCGCACGTCTTCAAGGAGATGTTATGTTACGAATTTCATTAATATCTTTGGAGTTGTCGTGCTGAAAAGCACGTGATTCAAGGTTATGATAGAGATGATTTGCATCCGTCTTTTGATCCGCTTCAGGTTTTCCGATTTGGACTAGCATTACGTCTCTCATTAATGCGCATTCGGATTCTGAATTCGGGGCGCAGAATAAGTGCGCATCTGCAAGAAGGTCTCGTATTTCGATCCTCGCGAACTGAATTTGCATATGTGCTTTAATCCTATAATCGAGTTGCTCGGCTTCACTTATTCCCGAGCTCATTCATAAAACCTCGAACTACGCACGTCTTCAAGAGGGTCTTGTATTCCGCTCCTAAAGAACGGAAATTTGCAATGGGCGTTGATTCCATTCATAAAACTAGTAGGTTCTCCCTTAAGCTTCATATTAATGCTAAGTTTAGCTATGCATGTCTTCGAGTCCGTGTCGTATTACTCTTTTACAAAACTTTAATTTGCATATGTGGAGCTCCTGCGCGTCATGAAGTCGGGGTCGTGCCTGCCCCAAATACCGTAATTTTGGGACACAGTGACGACGACGCTACCAGATTCCATAGATACTTGAATGGAGGCAGAATACCGCCCTAGCAGCACCAAAATTGCCCTCACCCCACCCTCTATCCTGAAGCCATTGTTTGCTCTGATGTGCCAAAAACCTTCAAGCCACATTTGGCTTCCCGGTAGCATCAAGATGATACGCCCACCCGGAATTTGGATCAGCTTTTCATGCAGAATTGGATTCTTCTCAGAAAAAAAGCTTTCTTTTCAGAAAAAAAACTTGACGAAACCGTCGCCATGACTGCGTAAATTTTAAGGTTGCTTGCCTGTTTTTAAATAATTTAAATTACCTCATCTGCCCTTGTTCCCAGCCTCCAAAAGTTATCAGGTGCATTCCTTAAGTTTCTAAATTCACAAAAACCTGCCGCGCCTAATTTTTCAACTTCACGACTGACGGTATGACTCTAGCGCATCACCTAGGCAATACCCTAGGTTTCGCTTTCCGCTTCTCCACTTCTGGGTTGGTTTCGACTCATCTATCGTAGCCTCCAATTTTCCTCTATTTCCAAGGGGATACCAATTTCGCTTTTGAAATTGGCGAAATTTTCGTAAAATGAGGCCAGGCGAAGATGTAAATGATGCAGAAAATGAGGGGTGGCCTCTTATTATTCCTGGTAGTGGGGTTTACCAAGAATTCCACCATTTTACTTCTAGCCCATCTGCTATCTTTCCTAAGGAAACATGAAGTTCTTCAATTCTGAAAGCTCCCGAATTTTTTCAGACTATTGACCACCCCCATCAAACGGCCACCTGGGCGCGCGCGTGAAGCCCCGCAATTGTTTTCGAGTAGCCCGGTCAGCGTGGCCAGTCTGTGTAATCCAGAAGGCCAAAAAACACGCAACACGCTTTTGCAAATCTTTTTCCGAAGCTATGTGGAAACTAGGCTTTTGTAACAGTCAACTTTTCGACAGTCACATTTACGAAAAGTCGGATTTGCGACAGCCACAGTTGCCAAAAGTTCATTTCTGAAAAGTCGTATTTTCGAAAAATCAATTGTTCGAAATTGATGTTCTCGTGAAATCGGTTTTTCAAGATAATATTTTTGTAAAGCCAAAATGAGAATTTCGAAAATCGTATCTTCGCATAGTGATTGAAATACCAATTTCCGAAGAACACTGTTTCAATGAGCACATTTTGGAAAAGAAATATTTCCAAAAAATGAGAATTTCGAAAAATTTTGCGAAAATGATGACCCTATACAACAAAATAAGCGCCCCCTTGTTTGTGATTTCCTTTGTCCCTACCAGAACCTCGTCGTGGGATCCGTCGAGAATCCAGATTGAAAGCATCTCCAATTTCACCCCCACATCCGCGTTTCGTTTTGTTTTTCCTCGATTTCGAGTTTTTTCAAGCCCGCCCTACTTTTGCATTTTTCAGAATTCGATGCCAAACCGATGTCAGAGAATGCGACCACGTCGATTCTGAGCAATTTTACCGATAATACAGATGTGTTGTTTTTGTTGAGGTAAGGAGATACTGAGGCTTAGGCATGGGTTTAGGTAGGCTTAGGTTTTAGACTGAGGCTTGGTTTAAGCTAAGGCTTAGTCTTCGTTTTTACAAAATCGATAAAAAATTTCATTTAGTGTCGTCGCCCCGCTTATAATATGCTGTTTTGCGATATTTCTTTGTGCGGTCGGCAGTATTTGTAAAACTAGAAGAAAGGTAGGTCTTAAAATTTAAAAAAAATTACCTGATTGGTTCAAGATTGATCTTTACTTTCTTTTAGTTGGACATGCTAGAATCAAAATACCCAATCACCAGTAATGGAATGGATACCACGAATGAATATACCTTGGATCTTACTACGAAAGTGGATTCTTGTGTTGAGTTAACTTCTACGCCACCGGTAAGCAACTTTTGATGCTTCTATTCCTACAAAAATTGATTGTAAGATCTAATAACCTAATTTTCTCGTGGAATTCACGAATTAAAGTGACTGCTTTTAATCTACGATGAGATAGCTCAATAACAAATTAGTTTCATTAAAAAAACACCAATTTAGGACTCGGTTCTGCTCTAACAACCTCGTCAACCAGTACCGCCCCCACCCCCTACCAACCGCCGATCATCATCGTATACGGGACACGCATTTTGTCAAGTGCTGTACATGTGGAGAATACAATAAAGCGTTTTGCGGAGCGTTTTGCGGAAGCACGACACGATTGAGAGCCTCACAAGTGAGCACGAGCCGCTGAAAATTGGCACAATTACGAGGAGCATGCAAACAAACACATGCGTCGCCCCAAAAAATCGGGCTATGTTTGCCGATTATTCTCGATGCACATCTGTGGCTACGGCAATATGGATTTCCACGTTTTTGCTGAAATTGTCTGAAACGAATTGCCTAGAATTTTAAGGTATCGTTTTTTCACTAATTTTCGGGGCCCTAATAAAGACAAACAAATTTCGAATGGTATAGCCATTTCGTTAGCTTGTAGCTTTTCTCATGCCCAAAATTTCGTTTCTTTTAGAACAAATTTTAGCAGAAAATTTGCTTACAAACTGATTTTCGCCGTTCCTAGTATAGTCATTATGGCTGCCAACCAAAATCCTGCTTACTCGACCAAAATCCTAATCCAGGAACTGGTCCCACTCCACCTGGCCGACGGATGAGCGCCTCCCCATCCGCATCGATTTTTGGCTCCCAGCATTACCTCCCAATTTTTTGGCAATTATTTCCTTTCGTTGTAGCGTTGTATATTCAAAGAAATTTTAACATAGTCGACGTCACACATATCTCTAATTGTTTTTAGCGCAAGCAAATTAATTATTAGCTGTTCCGCGCGTCTCGAGGTGCAAAGATTGGTCAGCAGGTAATAACTCGAAAAAAATGGATGGCGTTGGATTTCTCTTTGCAAATATGATGCTGAAAATTCAAAAGTTAATCTTTAAAATCCGAGACTGATCAAGGAGATCGAGATTATCATCTCTTATAATCACTTAATGACGCCCTAAAACCCATCATTTGTCCCCGGGATTACGAAATTCACACGCAGCCCCGCCATTTGCCACGACTAGACAAAGCTGCCGGAAAAGCGTGGCCAAATCCCAGTGTGTGTGCTGCTTCCTCCCCCTCGATCTCTCCTGCCTGGCCAGCGGGTCCTTTTCGTGTCAGTCTATATTGTGTCCTTTTTCGGGGAGGAAGGGCCTCCATTTCGTTGAGTGTCCCCCCTCGCGGCTTCTCGGTCTCCCCATCCCACTACCCTTCCGCCACCACCACGACCTCCTCAAAATTGCATAAATTCGCGCCCCAATAAACACGCGGGCGTCTCCAAGTACCAACCAACTTTTTCAACGTAAAAACGTTTCGCACCGATTTTAGGATAGTAAAAAATAACTATGTATTCCCTTTAATGTAAAAAAACTATTCAAATTCAGAAAATTTTCAAATCGAAATCAAATTTTGCTCCGTCTTCTCAACATTAGCGTCAGTAACGAATCAGATCTCGAAAAACCTCCAAAATTTCATACTGTCGAAATGTTTCTCCCGAAAAAAGCCACGAAATTCTATGCAAAAAAAGTCGAGATATTGAAATTTCGAAATTATTAAATTCAATTAAATTTTGGGATTAATTTCAACACTATCAGCTTTTGGCGTTAGGAATTTCTACATTATGTATTTCACTTAAAAAAATCGAGCTAGATGTCGTCTCTTTCCATCCTTTCTTTTTTTTATTGTCATTCGCTATGCAACCGCCCAGTCCTATGAATATAAATTTTTAATGGCATCGATTTTTCTCCGAGTCAGTCAGATGCAAGGATTTTTGGTTATTTCCGTTTTTCCGAAGTATCCACGTTTTAAGAATTCTTCGTAGCTTCCCTAATTTTTCTATGGTTCCTAATTTTCCATATCTGTTTCCAGATGATAGGCCTTCCAACAGATGTAATATGTTTTAACGTAGGTGGCAAAAAGTTTGCCACGTTTAGGAAAACGTTCCCAAAAGAGACTGTATTTTACAAGGTAGGGCATGTGGAAACTATTTGGATTTTTAGGGTATTTTCTAGTGGTTTGTCGCCGGAACGAAAGACGTTCCATTTATTGTCCGGGATAATGAATTCTTTATCGATCGAGACCCGAAATCGTGAGTTTATAAGACTAAATTTTAGGGCTTTTCTATATTTTAGCAAGGTCTTATTTAAGCTACCTAGCTGTGATACTTTAATTTGAGTCAAAGTAAAGGTTCTCGATTTTCAGTTTTGCTATTATCCTCAACTATTTCCGCTTGAAATCGTCAGGTCAATTATGGGAAGCATGCTTGCCAAAAGATCCGGATCGGCTGGCAATGTTGACACAGGTATTTCGTAGTAGTATGTGTTTTTTTGCATTTTCTATAGTAGTATCGTCGTCGTATCGTATAATAGGAGTAGTTGCATCTTAATTTGTAATATCTGTGCATTTTAGGAGGCCGAATACTTTGACCTCGTCCAACTGCGCACCCAGGCCATTAATCTTTTGCAAAGCAGCTGCGAGGATCGGCAAACCAATTATATCCATGAGGTAAGCCTTCTTTAAGTTATTTGCAAATTTTTAGGTGCTATCGAAGAGTACCAGCTGTCCACAAGGCTTCAATTCGCCCTTCGATTAGCAAATTTGCAATAACAAGATAAATATATACAAAAACAATAACCGTAGCTATGGAATGGCACTTTAAAGACACGTAAAGCAGGATCTAAATTATTTCATACAGCAGTCTTCCTTTTCGGGCATAGCCGGAACGATCATTCTTCTCACTAGCGGCAGGTGCTGGTTTTTGTCGACCCATTCTTGTAGTTCGTCGTCGCTCTAGAGTAGTTTTACAATTTTGGGTTACATTAAACGAAGTTTTGCCACCATAATGTTGAAATTCATCCTGTCCTATTTTTTGTAAAGGAATTTCCTTGCAAAGTTTTTCCGGAAAAATTAGTTTACGTAAATTTCGATATTCAGAATTTCGACATTATGAATTCCTACATTGTGAATTTTGATATTATGGTTTTTGACATTTTGAATGAAACCCTGAAAAGACATACCTTTGCATGAAGCCCTCGGGTCCAAAGGTCTTGCTTCTTCGTTACAGGAACAGGATTCAAGTCTTTGTACTCGATGCATCTGAAGTTTTGCCACTTTCTCGTCAAGTTAACGCTGCTTACCGACAATCACAAATTGGGCACTTGTCCGACGACTTGAACCAGTCCATCATATGACCACCATGACCACCGTGTTCACATCTCTGAATTTTTATGTTGAGCTACTCCTTCGAAGCCTACCAAGCAAAACGCGAAAGCGTGCGCGCCCTCATATCCCATGTCGTGATCGTAGCCGATAATCGGTGTTCCGTAGGAGCGAAGACAAATTGAGCACTTTGGATATTGCTGCCGGCACATCGGCATTGGACAGCACATAGAGCGGATGATTTTTGTCTAAAGCGCACTATTTAATGACCCTGAAGTCACTTACCGCATCAACATAAGGATGGCTCATCGCACTGTGGCCCGTTCGGGTCGGGACCTTGATTCCAGCTTGCTCATCTGAAGTCCGGGCTTCACGGTGATCCATGGCTAGCTAAAAATCGAGCAAATATAATCTCGTCTGAAAGCCAGGTCTACCGTTCGCAACCTCTCGCTCCTTCTGGCCTCATCCTTTTCCTGTTGAATGTCGAGGGCATGTTGCTTCGCGCCGACGATTGGCTCGTAGCAGTAGGAGCACGAGATGGACCACTATAAAGGTTTGTTAAATTTTTCATGATGAAATGGGTGGTCCAAGTGTCAATTTTACTTACCCAAGCGTCTTTCCTCTGCTTTGGCGGATACAGCAACCCATGTAAGGCACAGCGCATAATGTGCAACTTCGCTGACGTCAAGACGTTCAGGTAACGATCGATGATCACTCTCATTCTCGATTGGTAGAGTTTTCTTAAAAAAAAACGGGGCATCAAGCAGTTTCATGACGACTTACTCATGTCCCTTCTCGTGCTTCAAATAGTGCGACGGGTATAGTTTCGACATTTCTATGACCTTCGTCTCTCTCACATGGTCTTGGGCCTAAAATTTTGTTTGGATCGTGATCCGATCTCACTTACCAATTCCGGGTCATTTACAGGCGTAGCGATACACTCTCCAGTCAACAACAGGAACGTGGCCAATTGACAGTCTTGGGTAGCATCTGCATGTCTAAATTTTTCGGCTTTCCCTTATAGCTCTCAGTACTTACTCTAAAACCACTTGAATGCTATCCGGATGTGGACCTAGCCCGACAAAAACGAGCTTGCTGAGATCAGAGGCCTGCCGCATCTGGATGCAAAACGCCTGGATCAGATCGTCCTTGGGCAGGTACAAGGCACAGAAAGCTGTTCGGAGCGAGATCGGCATTTGCTAAAGAAAGGGATGTATACTCCAACGGTCCAGCTGACCAATCCAGTGCACAACATCTGCCGATGTTCCACCATTCTCCTTCTATCCAATACGGCAGCCATGTAGTAGAGACAAGCATGAAGTTCAGGTTGGGCTTTTGCGCGCGTCAGCTCCTTGTGCCTGGCCATCCAGCGCGTGAGGTTGAAGGTTAATTCCTAGAAGATGTTTTGCTCCTTTTCACCTTGACCTACATTCTGATTAGTTCTCGATTGCATCTCCTTGAATTTTGTCCACATCTCGCAAATACTTCGACATTGTCCTAAAACGCTAGGTTGCCCGTCTGATGTTCCTCGACCTACCAATCGGCCCTCCAGTCCTGTCGTCAATCGACCCAGGCACAAACTGCTTTCCATAGGCTGCCACGAGCTCGTCGAACATCTACACTTAAGTTAACCCCTGAAAGCTTCGGTCCTACCTCGTTCACAGCATTATAAGCGCCGTACATCATCGCAATAAAGATACAGGTGTACGGCCGAAAGTCCTCGTTGTCCTTGTCAAAGTATTTTCGAGCAATCTTCCGAATGGCCTTCCGCTCATAGGGGCTTGGCATGCCGACGCTGCGCAGGATGGCGATGCGTTCGGGGCCGGTGTACAGCTGAAAGTCGAGTTTTCTCATTTTTCTCTTTATGTTACTGACCTTAATATTTCCAAATGGACCATTGTCAAACTTTTCGGCTTTTGTAGGAGGGTGACTGGCAAGTTGGATGAGTCCGGGGAGTCTTAAAGTACGATATTTATATCCAATTTTTGATCATGAAGTCTACCCCCTCAACTCGAAGAAGGCCAGCTCGGGTCGTGGCGCGGGTGTATCCTCTTCTACTGCAGTATCGGAAGCGGAGTCCTTGTCGATATCGTCAGTACCGTAGGACCTGAAATTTTTCATTTTCGCAAGTATTTTGGGTATGTTTAAAGGCAAGCAAAATACCCACCCATCACCGGAACTGTGCTCCCCTTCGGAACTGCTTTCCACGATCGACTCCTCGCTAACGCACGTCAAGACCGAGCAGGCATCTAAAAATCGTGATATCAAAAACCGTAAAGTTTGGTGATACCGAATTCGCTGTCGAGCTTCCTTCGAGGTTGTGAATACGGTACCGGACGTACCGGAACAGGCTCGGGCTTCTTCGCGGCTGAAAAGACACCGTTGAGTTCTTAAGGCTGTCTACGAAACCTGGCTTCTTCGGTTTTTCAGGCAGCGGTCTCGAGCTGTGCACCAAATCAAAGATCAGAGAGTACCAATGGAAAAAGAGTTGGTGTCTTGGGGAGGCGGACTCCATGAAAATGTCGAGGGAGTTGAGCTTCATGTCTGAAAGGGATGATTGAGAAGTATATAAATTTGGTCTTCCCAATCAGCCGATCAACACCCGGCTCCACCGAAAAGTTGACAGCACCGCGTTTGGCTCGATCGACTGCTAGTTTGTACATATCGCGTCCCATTAGTGTGTACACCGAACAGAATCTACAGGAAATTTTGTTTTTGACAGCCTGTAGCTTCTAGCTCACCTGACTTTTTTGATGGTCAAACTCGAGTACTTGTCAGCGCCCCATGTATCTGGATATTCGATTGGCTAGAAAATACTTATATATTTGTTAGGGTGCGCTTATACCATGATTGTATCCAAATGGAACCGCTTAAAGCGATCAATACCACACCCGATAACCGCCGCGCTAAACGGTGAAAACTCGAACATCCCGAGACGCCGCAGATTTGGGAACTAAACTCTCAAAAATTAGCGATTGATTTTGGCGCACCGTAATCTTCTGCCTGATGTTCATCTCGTGCATTCTTCGAGCTAGCGAGTCTTTCCGGATCCGAGCTTTTCGAGCAGCTAGTTTGTGAGCGATCTATAGTACTTGACTGACTGGCTGACCTCGACAGCCTACCCTGAATTTCCTCATCCGCTCCTCCGCAATCCTGGCTTTCTTTTGCAGCTTTGCCGCTTCTTCCTCTTTCCGTTTCTTCGCCAAATCTTCAGCGAGTGAGGTAGAGGCTCTTCGATCTGTTGACGGACGAGCCAAGGTATCACTGAGGATTTTAAAGGTTAGATATGCTTCCGTATTACCTAGAAAAACTACTCCTAGAAGTTCGAGCTCCAGGCCGGTCGATGTTCCGGATGACCGTTATTTTGCGCAGATTCTGAAGGATGATCAGTTTTCAGAAATCTGCTTACGATTTTCTTCTTCTTGACCTTAAACGCCGGGATGCAGGAGGAAGAGCGCTTTTGAGCATGAAGGTGATCCGTTACTTTTCTAGGAGAGACAGAACGTGTCCGGCAGGCTTTAGTGACCTGAAATTCAAAAAATCGTCAAGATTGGGAAGTTTTAGCCTACCTTCCTCTTTCTAAAAGATGGCCTTTTCCCGCCTTTCGTATCCGCATAAAGCCGAGCCCAGCAATGGGCCATTTCCTTTTCTTCTGGGGGTAATTCAGCGAAAGTCGGTACTTTTGTAGGCTTCTCAACTCCCTTCGGACCGGATGGAGCACTGAAAAATTGCAATAAATCTTTATTTTATTGAAACTAAGTTATAGATTAAATGTTTAACCCACAAGTCCGTCCTTTTCTCTATAAAAGCTTGGGTCGGAGGTCGATCCTCATCAGCCAACGCGGACAGCTCCAGATAGCTACTTTCGGAACGCACTCGATGCGGTGGAGTTGACTAAAAGATGAAGTAATTCCTTTTTCTACAGCTCATGCCCACCATAAAATGAAAATCCCCAGGAGAGCTGATAAACAGCCTAGACACCGTCGTGCTGTGTCCGATTTGAAGAAAGATCTCGTCACCTCGCATCGGGTTGAAGCGGATTTGGTTTCGCTGGCCGGGTTTTTGCTAAATTCATTGGTAGCTTTAAATTTCTAGTATTCTTTACCCTGCGTCGAAATGGTAGCGTATGAGTTGGACACCATAGTAGGCGACGATCAAAGATAAGCACAGCGTCCTTGATGAGACACGCAAAAACGGTGGCTCTATGCGGATTGACGCAGACCGAGAAGAGTTCTGGAAAGTTTTCCTGTTTTTAAGGTATCTTTTAAGGCCCTTCATTGTTTTATTAATAAGGACTAGGTATTTAAGAAACACGAAACTTCAAAAAGCAGGAAAAAACGTTCTTACCACAAGTCACGAACAATGAGGCTTTTGGCTCAGTGCCAGCGCTAATTTCAAAAATTCTGATGGCTTTTGAAGTGACGACGACGAGCATATCGGCATTATCACTAGAATAGTATTTCACTAGAATTTGTAATATATTTCGGGCTTATTTTTTCTTTAAATTTAAGATTTTGTATAAACTTACAAGAACCAAGCCACTCCAACGTGCTTCTCCGTGTGGCTAATCGCAAAAATACGTTTATAACCATCGCCGTCGGGATCTGGCTGAGCGACGTCGTGAACTGATATGATGTAATCGTTCTTGATAGGGCTGAAAATATTGTCTTAACTGATTGCTCGAAGCATACATACCGATACTTTACTGAGGCCACCCAACAAGGCTCCACCGGATTCATACAGGTCTGAATGACCGGATATGGCTCATCCCCAGGCGGGATTACGTAACTTGCGGAGGTGATTTCCCTGTAAACCGTGATTTTTCGTGTTTTTTCTTCTAGTAACGTACCAATGTTTAATGTTTAGGTATTGTTGTGTACTCGGGTTATTTACTAGCACGGTTCCATCAAAGAAACCGGTTGCAGAAGCCATCGAGAGTTCCAGGAAACTGTGGGCTGTCGTTTTGACCTGAAAATTCATCTTTTTTAAACTTTCTGGCTTTGTGATTGTCTATAATCTCTATTTTGTCGATCAATGACTATTTTTTTAGGATCCTGGCCAATTTGTTATTCTTCTTTCATTAAATTTCATTACTTACTCTTTTTCCCTTACACCACTCGGTCAGCGGAATTGTGTACATCAATTGCAAATGTGCCATCAGCTCGCTGTTTGGCGCCTTTAAGTAAATTTTTAAATTTCAAATTATTTTTTACTTTTAGAAAATCCAATCGATTGTACGCAAATACTTGTAGCAAGCCTTCGCCCGCAAATCGAGCCTCGACGGGCGGTGGTTTCTGTCTAAAGATGTTCTTACTATTTGTTTTCTTCATTTTTGCTTACAATTGCCACGGGTAGGCATGGCCATTATTCATTTTGTTGTTGTAGATCTAATTTCCTGAAATGTGGAGTTAGAATTTGTCCAGTCTTGTTTTAAAATTCCTGTTCAAATATTGTTACATTGTAATAACTGGTAGATCCGTAAAATATGAACTCGTTAGCAACAATAAACTCAAAAACTCACATAAATGAAATTGCAAAATTTATTTCAGGTACACATGACTAGAGCTTTTCAGAAGGGCTAGAAGACCGAAATCTCATGCAAATAAAAAGTAAGGCAAAAATCCTAGAAAATGGCAGCCTTTGGCCCAACGCGGTGTCCTAGGTAAATACAATTCTCACGACATCATAAAATCCCTAGAAAATCGGCACAAACAAAAATAGCTACAAGATCGGGGCACCAACCGGGGGAATTGAGCACGTGTATGGGTCCATGAGAAAGGTAATAAGTATAAAAAGTCACAAGACAAAATCGAAAAATCTGGCACAATATTTCTAGAAGCTCGGCGCTCCCGTCAGCCAGCGGATTTTTTCGTAGGAAATCCAGAAGGTCAGCGACCAGGGAGCCTAAAAATGTTTTTAAATCAAACTTTGGTCCTTGTTCGTTAGCGGTGGGGGTGTCAAAAACTTTTCGTTACTTCGCTTTTTTCCATTGTTTTCCACATTTTCGCAACTTTTTCGACATTTTTAAAACCCGATTCGATAGAGCTTAAAAAAATACCAACAATCTTAATTCTGGGTCAAAACACTACAATTTAAGAAATTTATCGCAAAAAAAGAATTACTCTAAAAATCGCGTGGTAATCTGGTTTACGAGACGTTTAGAAAAACGCACCATTCTTATATAGGTAGGCAAGAATCCGCGATACAATGCCCAGAAGCCCTCGCGTTTGACGATATGCATCAGGCAGTCGATGCTTCCTTTGTGCATTTTTGATGGTTTTCCATTTGGGCTGAAAAAATGGAATATCATGTTTTTTGTCAAGAAACCTCACTCAGAATCGTGTAGATGCCGTATTTGATCCATCATTCGGGTCTTCACAACATCGGCCGGGGTACTGACGATTGCCGCCATTAATCCTAAAATATTTTGCCTGGTAAAAATACGCGAAACTACCTGAACAAGCACTAGAAATTGCGTGCGTCCATAAATTGTCCTTCAGCCCGGTGTTCGCGAGCAGCCAGTGTTTCGCACGATCGTAGGTTGCCAAATCTGGTAAAATTCCGATAAAAAAAGTTTACAACACCTTACCAGCCATATTCAAAAGCGCTGCCCGTTGGCAGTTCGGCACCCAGCCCATCCAAAGTCCGAAAAAGCCGTGAGATCGGTAGACGGCTCGAAATGCGTCAAAGGTGCCAGTGTATCTAAAAACGACAATCAGAAAATGAGTTCGAGTTACCTAGGCGGCAAATTCTGCAACTTTCTGAGCCCCTCCATCTGCATTTGCACCTTCACGAGGTCCGTGGGGCTGGCAAAGAACTGGGCGACGGCTCCTGAGAAGAGACCGCAAACCATAGACTTCCTAAAAAGCAAAGTAATACTTTAAACATAATACTTGCCAAACTGGGAACGTCTTCTCGTGCTCTTCCCTCCATTTTGCGCGCATGAATTCGTAGGCGCCCATTCGAATACCCGTATAAACTAAAGTTATCGTTATTTGATTAAGCGGAAAACCTGCCATAATGCCTATAGATTGCAGGTGCGACGCCGCGCCATAAGCTCATCGCGCCTTCGTTTTTTACTAAAAATATGTATATTTCAAAGTTTTAAAAGGGTTTTTCTTACCTATATCATAAGTGACGCTCATCATCCCTGTTGCTTTACTTGTATGCCCGTGCGGGCCATGGCGCACTATTTGGAGTCGTGTTTTTGTGATGTCCAGAGGGTAGGTTACTGAAAGAACATTTTATAAAGAGTAAAAATACTATTTACCTGTCTCCGCGACCAAAGCTGCTGAACACGACAGGAAGTACTTCAGGGCAACTTGTTGTGGTGTTGTTGGGGCAGGCTCGCCGCCGGGTCCCCTCGGCATTTTTGGCTATCTGAAAAAAAGAAAGATTGCAAAGTTATAATAATCTTGTGAATTTATTAGAATGCGGGAAACGCGCAACCTTAGGCGCTAAAAACAAACATTAATGAACTAGGTTTGTTATGGAGCTTCTAATCGCAAATGCTTGGTTGTGCAGAGGTTTATTTTATATTTCTTGCCTTTCATATCATTTTTGAAATTTTGATAATGGTCACGAGGCTGGTTTATAATATTCAACTTTTTTCATAACTAAAAAACAACAATTATTTGAAAAGACGCTATTCATTCTTTCCTGTTAGGAATGATAGCCCTGCATGCTTTTTCTTTGTTTATTTTCATTTTACTAAACCCACCTTTCAACTACACTGGCCAGTCGACGTATCCGCAAGAACATTTGATTTCAAAAGTTGTTCTTTCACACTTTTTGGACTTGCACTTGCAGGTGCACAATTACACAATGGAATGCTGTTTCTTTCCAAGGCGGCGCCGGGGTTTGTGTGTCGTTAGTAGCCGGTCGTACACGGAACAGATAGCCGCCCCTGCGGAGGCCGCGCGCCCTGCGGGGGCCGCGATGGCGGTCCGGCGCATGCGCGGCTTCCGCACGGCGCGTGCACGGCTGTTGCACGGCGCGCGCTAAATTTCGCGGCGCGCGCACGGCTAGCGCACGGCCCGTGCACGGCTGCCGCACGGCCCGTGCACGCGTGCTTCACGGCTTTTACTATTAATATTCGTCCTTTTGCTTTTAAATTTGTATTGTGTATTCTTGATTGGTTCTAAAATGATAGTACTTTCATATAATATTTATTCAACAGATAGAAAACATGCAACAAAATCAATAAGTCAACAATCTGGACAGATAGAAAGAAAATCACAAGCAAACGAACATACAAATCATCACAATAAAAAAGAAACCGATTACCATATAATTATACAACACATGAAGGAATGGGAAAGGGTGGCCAAGGTCAGTTATAAGTCAGTTTTTCCTTATGATACTTTAAAGATAATTTTACAAAAGCAACGTACCTATATTCATTATCTAAACTTTGGCCTGCGTTAAGTTAAGAAGAAGCTAAGTTAATTTTATAAAAATACCTTGATGGATCCAGATTCCTAAATTTGACCCTGGCCGGGTAAGAGGGTGGGGATGTTGGTATTTTCGGACGATGTTGGTGGTCAGCTTGCAGTCATGCTTCTGGTTTCCTCGGATGAAGTTGCGACGGTTCGTTTTGAAGCGCCTACAAATAAAAATAATGACACTCAGAATTATTTACCTTTTCCCAAACGTGTTTCTGTTATCTTCGTTATCCTCCCTCTATCGTACACCTCGGCGAGCGCGTTGATGCCGCAGACACGGAACGTCTTGGTGTTGGTTGCCTAAGATTGGGTAGCAAAAAATCGTGGATCTAACCTCGTGCTCCTCGCGCCCCGGGCACACCACATTCATCTCCTCCACTCCATAGAGCCCTTCTAGCAGATGGCGCAAAATACGTACTCCTCCCTCAGATATTCGACAAGATTTTTGATCCTGAAAAAACTGTATCTTTGAGAGAACTCCGGAAAACCTGGTCAGCAACTCCGCGGCAGTGTTTTCTGAGGATTTTCCGTCATGAAGGGGCGGCGGGACGCCATTTGCGCAGAAGAAACTAAAAATTATCGCTTTTTCAATTGCTAAAACAATTGTTATACCCAGCATATTTGCTTCGAATCGTCTGGTCTTTCGAAAAGTAGGCCTATCTTCCGGCGCATCATCTCCCGATTTGTATGACGGCCAAAACCATTCGACAATCGGCGTATCCCGTGCTTTCCTAAATAAAAACCAATTTAAAACGATTTTTCGGCTCACGCAATATCCAGTTGAGCGCCCGTCTTTCGAGCCTTGATAATCGCGCGCATCGGAAGCCGGCAGATTTATTGGATACGGCGACGCTCCCATATTCTAATCAACGTCTTCCAGATTCTTGCCCTTCTTCGCAAAGGCCAGGCTCAGTGGGGCAGATCAGATGTAAAAAAGTTATAAAAGTTAGAAATCGCTTTATTACCCGAATCATAAAATCGGAGAATCCATCGGAAATCGGGCTTTTCATTTCAATCTTTCTTCTATCCACTTCCGTTTGAAGATTGAAATGGACTCGTTCTGTCGTATCAGTTCTTTTCAGCAGATCTTCCGCTCGGGAGACACTAAAATGCATCAGATTTTGCATTTTTTATGTTTCAAATTTACCCTCTAAACTCGAGCTTCAACACTGCCGTTGTCCTGAAGAAATCTCCAATATTTCTCATCACGATTGGAGCGCCGCCGAAATATCCGGTACTGATCTTCTTGATTGTTCCCAAGACTGTCGATTTCATGAAACGATTCAGGGAGATACTTGAATAGGGCGAGAGACCATCCTAAAACATTTTTTATCAAAAGAATTAGGTATGAAAATACCGTGATCAACATGTTCTCATTGATAACAAGGACAACGAGTGGTCGACCGCTGATAGAAACACTATTCCACGCAGCATCGGGATATTGCAACTCGCTGCTCCATTCATCCATCAATATCCGGATATCATACATCAAATGGGATCGACGGCTGTCCATAAACTAAAAAACCTTTTCTTTTTTCATAGAGAGATCAACCTGTGGGGTAAAAGCCACGATTTTCGAGCCAAGTTGGTAGAGTCGACTTGTACCCAGGAGTCCGATTTCACGATCTCTCGGTCTTCCACTGAGCCCAAGCTTTTTTGCAGCGCCGATTCTATAACAAATAAAGTAGTTAGCTATCTCGGTTGAAAACCTACTTTCCAACAATTCGCCCAGTTTGCTCGCCGGCTCAATCATGACAACGGGATCGACTTCATCGACTCTTTGCACGATAATTCCATTTGCTTTCAGTTATCGTTGAACATTTTGGTTTTCAGCCAAAATTGTGCCTTGAACTTCACAAGGAGGGCGTTTCGCATATGTTGTCAATCTTCGCAGATCAAAACGTAACTTTACAGCCATTCTGCCCGCCTGGTTCGACGCACCTGGAAACCATACGTTGACAAATAATAAGAATGATAATTCACCTTTATCCCAGGTGATATCCCTTGGCGGACGAATCTGCATCGTTGTTGGGTCGTCTGCGCCCCCGACTTCGAATAAGCTACCTTCCGTCGCCCGGCTCGAAGCACCTAAATCCAACGATCATACCACGTATCAGATTATACCATCAACGTGACTGCAAGCCCCGCTAATTTTCCCTACTCATATAGTAAAAAAATACTGACCAGCTTCCGAGGCGTATACCCTGGGCGACGGCGTAGCCGATTCGTCATCGGGTTCATGGCTTTCCGGTTCCTCGACGGTCAACGCTCTGCCATCTATTTTTCTTTGTAAAAATTATCAAACACTTTACCTTTTGCCACAGGAGATAACTGTCCAGGCAAGAGTGTAGGCGCCACCACATATGTTGTCAAGTCGGAGTCACCTAAAACTCTGATTCCGGAAAAACGGAAACAAAGAAAATTACCTGAACGTTCAGCAACTTCTCCCAATTCGTGCCCTTGTGCCTTCCAAGGTCTTGCCCGTTTCCTCGGCATCCCTGCAACAGATTCATTGTAGTGAGTTAGCAGCGGAAAACATTGTATGAAATTGATAGGAAAGGGCTAAGCATAAAAGAAATAAGAAAAGACCCGTGGGCCTTTTCCGCAGATAACATCCAGGGACAAGACACCAATTAACCCTCCGAAAAAGTTTATCTTCACAAATCCAAATGTGAAATTATCCCAATGCAAAAATGCTTGGTTTTGACATGGATCGTATTAGAAAATATTAATTAAATAATTAAAAACCTTAAACTTTTACTTGCATAAACGCGGATGTTTCTGTTTCCGCGTCTCGACGTTTTGTACTATCGACGTTAGCCGTGACAAGGCCGTGCGCGGCCCGTGCGCGGCCCCCGCACGGCGCGCGCGCGGCGCCCCAACGGCCACTCAGCCACCGGGCCTGGCGCTAGCCGTGCACGGCGCGCGCACGGCTACTCCACGGCTAGTCCACGGCTCCGTCGCGGGCGCGCGCCTATCGCGGCTAGCGCACGGGCCGTGCACGGCTAGCGCACGCGCCGTGCCTACCAGTCGCGGCTATTCTGTTCCGTGTACCTGAAGTGCAGATGTTTTTTGAAAGTTGCATAGAACTTGTGTAAAACTGTGTTTTGAAGGTTTGGGTCATTTAAAAACTAAATTGCAACGCATTTTTACATTTTCTAGGCGTTTTATGCTTTCAGGTTGACTTCTAAAGTCGTGGGGACGTGTTTCGAGCGCAGATGTCACTAAAATTTACATAAAGTCTGTGTGAAAGTATTTATTAAATACCTAGATCCTTAATAAATCGAATTAAAAGAAAATCTGACATTCTTGAAGCGTTTTATGTTATGAGACTGACTGCTAAAGTCGTTATAACGTTATGAGTTCCCGAATCATCTTCTTTACGTTTTCCATTAAAAAAATTCTAGCTTTAGGTCCCTATAAATTCCCGGTCAAGGAAAAGCCGGGACTACCACCCCGGCAACAAAGCGGTAACCATCGGTTTGGTGCCTGGGCCCTAGGGTGAGCGGGTTAATTGTTTTCGCACCTGTCCGAGTGGCCCATCCCGTACAAACCGGCGCCAACCCAGCAATTTTCTCTGCTACCAACTTGGACCAACCGCTCGGGGTGAATACGAAGCCTATCATTTGGGGCTGGAGGTGTTCCGTATTGTTAGTATACAATATCGTTTTGTCTGACCTGTACTTGTTGGATTGTAGGGATGGACCAGCAAGTAATTTTTTGCACGAAAGCGTATTGAGTAGTAAGCCGAGATTTTGATGCTTAGGAATAGTTAAAAACAATTTAGAAACAGTCCGATATTTATAAAAAAATTTAGGCTTGCGACGAAAAAATTTCGGTTCGGGAATACTCCCCCACCGCGAATCCTAAAGAACCGAATTTCTTAGAAACGAGCGATTCTGCATAGTATTTCATCGCGTAACGGG